TTTTTCTTTTTTTTTTTTTTTTTTTAAATATTGATTCAGGGGTGTTTTTCCACTGTTGTCGAGGGAGGGTCATAAGGGGTATTGGCCCCTTGGCCTCCCAAAACTTTTGTTTTATGTACTTAAGTTTAAAATGTGAGTTTGAGTTCTCTTTTGTGGAAACTTACGATGTGGTGTAAATGATTCTTTCCAAAATTGTCCAGCAGCTTTAATGAGGCAGTGACAATTTCTAAGTAGTTGATTGGGAGTCCTTTTACATTTCTCCTTAGGTAACTTTGCAATCTGGGTGGCTCTTGTATAGCCTCACTGCCCCAGAGTGCCTGGTTAGCCATTTCCCCTCGGATAGGAATGTTTTGTAAGAATCTGCTGATAACCTGGATTTCGGGGGCCCTTGTTATCCGGGTCCCTGGGAAACACACGTTTTCTGGATTTTGAAAACCCAAAACGCAAGCAACTTCACATTTTGGGGAACTAGCTGATGTGCCTCCCGAGGCCTGAGGAGGTGGTGGGGAATATGAGCGGTGCTGTCTCTTTAAAAGTGCCCTTTATATGATTCCCCCTCCTGGGGCCTCCCACCGGGGCTGTAGGCTTGGGAGAGATTGCGTAGGTGACAGTGAATCAGAATGAAATGGTAGGTTTTGTGTAGATGCATTTGTCTGCTGTAATTTTTATATATATATTAAACTTACTGTAACTGTACAGTTCGTTTCTGTTGTAAAACATCATTAAACCATTTTCCAAGTGTTTTCACATTGTTGGAGTTTCCTTGCACTTGTCGTGTTGGTATTCTGGACACTTCCCGCACACAGACCGTCGCATAAGCCTTCCCGTGGGTCTTTTCCAGGAGGGGCTCTCAGGGGTCCCAGGCACTGGAGGCACCTTGGTTCCTAGCCCACCCCCACCCTGGGTCCCACCGCCCACTTCCTCCTGTGTCCCCTGGAGTGCTGTGGCCGCCACACCTCTCTCGCTCCCCAGACCCTGAGGGTTCAGGGTCGTCTCCTCGCACCCCAGGGCTTTGTGTGACCAAAGAAAGCCACAGGCCCTTGACTGCTCCTGCAAGATCACCCTTCAGAGCTCCCATTTCTCTTGTGTCTTTGATGGCAGACCAGGTATTGAATTTGACTTTTCCACCCTTCACTCTTTATACTCTTTGGTGCCCCTCCAACGTTTCCTGCCACATCCTGAACACCCATTCCCTGAGGGTTCTCTGAAAGAAGCTAGCCCCGGACTTGGCATCTGGTTCTTCCGTCGGAGGGCACACAACTCAGCTTCACTCCCTCTAACTTATACGAGTTCACATTTAGCGTCTGGAATGCAGTTTGTTGAATGAGAATTCGAGGCTTTTTTCTTTTCGTTTAATGTTTATTTTTTGAGAGAGGAAGCAGGAGCCGGGGAGGGGCAGAGAGGGATGGAGACGAAGGATCTGAAGCGGGCCCCAGGCTGACAGCAGAGAGCCCAGCGCGGGGCTCGAACTTCCAAAGCGGAGCCAAGGTCAGATGCTCGACCGACCGAGCCACCCAGGTGCCCCTGAAAGTCTGAATCCTAAAGCGAGTTTCCCACAGAAAGCAAACATCAGCTTGTTGAAGAGCTTTGGGAGGCTAACTTCCCTGTCTCTCGACCGTGTGCGACCCGGGTCTACCGGATGTGCTCCCTGAAGCAGGAGAGCGCTGCTGTCTCAAGACGTGCTTGCACCCTCTGAAGGGCCCGGAATGGGAAGGCCGACCTCGGTTCCTCTCATCCCCTGATGTAACCCGACTAGGCTGCTATCCCATTCTCGGGTTTGTAGCTTGCATGTAAGTTTGGGAAGTTTATCCCTTAAAGCAATTTGCGGAGTCCTTAACAAACCTTCTGTTTGGTAGAGACTGACCTGCTCGCTCGCCAGCATGAGAAAGACCTCAGAAGGCAAAAGCCATCCCTACAGAATGGGGAATAAAGTACCGATTATCATCACCCTGTAGGCCTTGTTAAGAAGGGAGTTACGTTCTTTTTTTTTTTTTTAATTTTTTTTTTCAACGTTTATTTATTTTTGGGACAGAGAGAGACAGAGCGTGAACGGGGGAGGGGCAGAGAGAGAGGGAGACACAGCATCGGAAACAGGCTCCAGGCTCCGAGCCATCAGCCCAGAGCCCGACGCGGGGCTCGAACTCCTGGACCGCGAGATCGTGACCTGGCTGAAGTCGGACGCTTACCGACTGCGCCACCCAGGCGCCCCTAGAAGGGAGTTACGTTCTAACCCACTTCCGCTTGGCATCGGCCAAGCTGAGCTCCCCGCGAGAGGGTGTCCATGACATCTGCTCTCTTGCTGCCTTTCCTCTCTCCAAAAACGAGCGCTCGAAGATGCAGGACCTCTGTAGTTAGAACTCAGTCGTAGGGTCGCAGAAACGTCCGGTGCCAGGCTGCCAAAACGCATCATGAGTTCTTGTGGACAGGGACCAGGTCTACAGCTACGGCCGAACAGCCGACCGAATGGCCAGGCTTTGAGTCCCCTTGGCACCTCCTCTTAGCTTGAATTGATCACCTGCTCTTCTTGTCCCTGCCCAACCCGGCTTCGGTGACCGTTCTGTTCTTAGGGCATACTCCAGGAAGAAGAAAACTTGATCAGAAATATCCACATCCTACCTAACTTCAGTGACGACAAAGTGATGCAGGTTTTCAAAAGTACCGAAAGCTTCCATTTTAATTTACATGCACGCGCAATGCGTCCGTGCTTCCTCAATGCAAGTGAGCGGCCTTCCTTTGTTCTAAAACCCATCTTCCTATTTTAACACTGACGAAACAGGGCTGCATCTTACAATGGATGTTTCTGTTAAGAGTTCGGGTTTTTTTTTTTTTTTTTTATGTAAAATAAGTTGGCGGCACATCTGAGCCGATCAGTAGCTTCTTGGGATGGAAGGAATCCACCTGTGCTTTGGAGGGGGGAGCCCCGGGCCCTAGGAAGCGGCACCTGGGCCGCCTCCCCTTGACCCTGGGCTCCCCGCCCCAGCACCTGTGGCTCTCACCCAGCTGGCTCTTCTGTGCGTGCGGGCGTCTTGCCTGTGGTCCGGTAAGTGCCCTTGCCCATCCAGGTCAGCTGTGGCACCCCACACCTCGCCGTTGGCTTTCCTCCCTGCCTCTTGAGCCAAATTGTTGACGGGACGGGGCCAGACTCTTGTTTTCAAGCCAGCCATACATACGGGTCACACGGCCTGCATGTAACTCCGCGGACCCTGAAACTAGGCCTGACATGTGAGGCTGACTCACTTTGACTGACAGAGGAACCCAACTTCGGGTGCCCGGTGAGTAGGAGACAAAGGAGTGGCAACCCAAAAGGGGCCATCTGTTGTCTTCGACTCAAGGCCGCTAACGCCACACAACACCCATTTTCTGTCCCTCCTCCGAGGCCTTCCGCCCGGGAAACTTGCCCGCTTCTCCGGTAGCTTAGCGGGCTCTGTCCGCACCCCTTCGCTGGCAGCCACCCCTCCCCGCCTGGCGCCCTGTGTGTCGCGACACAGCCGTGGGATGCTGCTCTTCTCTGTGATCCGCCTGGCGTCCAGCGGCAAAATTTCAAGCCCCTAAGCCTGTGGTGGTACTTCTCTGTCCTCCCGGGTGGCTTGTAAAGTGCTGGGCACGGAAAACAGGTAGGTGCAGGGTAAATATTTGTTGAATGGAATTGAATTCCCCCTACGAGGCCGGATTACAAATTGAATGCCTTGTCTTCGGGAGTTGTTACGCGTTTCGCCCGGGCCCGGGATGCACAGCGCTCCTGCCGGAATCCTAGGTGCTCGGGGTGGGGGGGCTTTTAACAGCCACGATCTTGGGTTCTGATCTCAAACACGACCCGATATTAACTGCTAGCTTGATGAGTTGGGGCCTCGCCTACAGCCCCTACATTTAGAGGGAACCTGACGGAAGAAGACCTCTGTCGTCCTCCGGCCCTCCCCGAACCCCACAAGACTGAGGTTTGGGGCAGTGGCATGAGCGGCTGTTTGCAAGTCCCAGACTCTGCTGACTGGCTGCTCGCTGGCCTCCCTCTGCCACCAGCTGGGCACGGAGCCGGAAGCCCTGCACTCCTGCCCCCCCCCCCCCCCCCAGGCCTGGCCCAGCCTGACGCTGCCCACTGGTACTGCACTCAAGGCCTCCAGGCGCGGCCACCGACCCAGATGGAGGCACTCCACCTGTGCCCCCCAGGGAGCCACGCTGCTCTCCGGAGGTCAGTTTTGTCCCCTGACAAGGGCACCAGACGGACTGCCCGACGACTAAATTACCGTCACCGGCCGGATTGCCAAAATAAAAGCCCAGAGAACACGCATTTTCACCAAAGCGTTTATTATGCGAAAGAGTAAGGCTTCAGCAAACGAGTATAAATTAAAACTCAGCAGACAGAGAGGGTTGTCCACTCATAGTCGCGTGCCCCGTAATCACACGGCGATGTTCCCCAGAGTAGCCACGGCCCTCGGGGCGGGGGGGGGGGGTCTCTGCGGGTCTGCGCGGGGCTGAGCCTCCCGCCGAGACCTTCCCGGTGACGTCCGTCTCTCACCTGGGGCGCGACGTGAACGAGGGCCTGGCCAAAGTGTGGTCCAGCCCCTTCCCTCGCCCCCACGCTTGCTTGCGTCACACCTGTAAGGGCACCTGCTACGTCCCCTTGGGCCGCTCTGGTCACAACTCGCTTCCCTTTGGAGAGTGTGAGCTCCGCGGGGGCAAGCACAGGCTCGTTGGGTCCCTGAGTGCCTGGGCCACAGACGCTGACCTCTCCGGAGGGAATGTACGCTTGACCGAGGAGGGCCCCCTCCTGTGTGCCCCGCACCCCACCCCGTGCCCCCCACGGAGGCTCCGTGACCCCCTGCCCCTCCCCACCTCATCCACTGCGGACGTGCCCCGGCTCCCCTCCCATTGTCCCCTCTGCACAGACCTTTCACAGGGATGCACGACAGCCCCTTTGCCCCAGTTACAAGTCACCTTGACATGAAGGCACGGGTTGACAACAGACGCCGGATTTACAGCAGGAGCAAAGCCACTCAAATACGGACAGGACAATAGAGCCTATTAGGATATGTGCTAACATTTGAGTTTCTCTGGGGACTTGACAAAACATGGACCGAACATGGCTGTGAGGAGTGTGCACCCGTCTCCCAGGTGAGAGCCCAGAGCCTCCAGGACGGGGGCCTGTCCACAGTCCCCAACAAACCAGAAGACCCGAGAACCTGCGGGGTTCACCACGGGCTCCTCAAGGACGGGGCCTCAGCCCTGGGGGAACGCACTCCCCTGCAGAGTCCAGGGACGACGTTCCGTGCATGACGGTTTGGAAGTGGACGTGACCAAATGTTACAACGCGAAGCGTCCTATTCTTAAAAAGGAATACTTGGGTGGTGAAGAAATACGAGTGAACTGGGTTATAAACGCTTTATCCTGTGTCTTTCACAATCTGGGTGTCTTCAGGTCTGGCCTGTGATTGGCGAAATGCCCGGTGCTCTTAGCGAGGGGGCAGGGTCTGCATGTGGAGGGCATCATAGGTGTCCTTGGTGGCCGTGCTGAGCCCCTAGTGAAAGCAAATCAGAAAAAAAAGTGGGTCAAGAGCTCCGCGTGGGCTCTAGGCTACCTGGAGGCCAACAAGTGGCTTCCAGAGGCCTAGGAACGATCCCCTCGTACCCCAGGTAGGGGCCTGGCCCCAGAAGGCTACAGAAAAAATATGTTCTATGCCCTGCTAGGAATGACCTGGAAGCAACTCCTTTCCAGCTAAATTCTTACCTTCTTCCTAGCTTCCGGAGCACTGAGCCCTACAGTGTCTGGGGCCTAGAGAAACCTCCTGTTGGACCAAAGAGGAAGGAGAGCCCCCACCCTCCCCAAACACTGAGCTGGAATCGGGGTTCGCTCCAGAGTCTGCTGTCCCTGACACCTGGGCCTCCAGGAAGCCAGGACTTGTCACAAGGAGACAGTGGCTCCCTGACCTCAGCCGGGGCCCCCCCCCCCACCCCGAGCCTTATTCCCAGGCCACCCCACAGTTATGTCCTCTGTCCTGGTCCCAGTCCCACTACGACGTCTCTCCCTGGTCCAGAAGACAGATCCAGGAAGCCACTCACAGGAAGATTCTAGGGGCCCTTTTGACGTCATTCTGAACTCAGGCAAGCTGGGCAGCCTGACACCTTGGAGCCCGTCAAGCAAACTGTGAACGGCCCGGGGGAGCCGGAAGTAGCCGAATAAAATCCCGCTGGGGATTATATTTTAGAGAAATAGGTTGGCTCTCCTTCGTTTGCATAATCATTCACACTGATTTGCATAAACCAGACACCTGACTACGACACTTTCTTTTTAAAGTTGCTATTTCTCTCTCTCTTTTTTTTTTTTTTTTGTCCTTCAATTCTCCCACCCATCCACCCGTCGTATTAGGTCTGAGGGTCCGGGGCACAGGCAAGGCTTCTTGCAAGGGTGTGGGGCAGCGCGGGAAGAGGCAGGAAATTGCTCGTGTGGCGTCCTCGGCCTATATCGACCCTTTGGCAAGACCGCACGGCCTCTGCGCAGCTGCTGCTCCTCCGTAGCCAGTGCCCCGGGGGCTCCCGTGGGCACGACCGTGGGAGCCATGCTTCAATCGCTACATCCCAGCCCTGCCCCAGGGCCCGGCCGGTTCAGGGGCCTCGGGTTCGCCCTGCCTGGCTGATGGCGAGAGCTGGTGCCACCCACAAGCAGAACGTGGGCGTCTAGCCTCGCCCCTGGTTAGACGGCACCCGGGGACCGAGGGCCCGCAGCGCAGACCGGATGCTCCGCATCCGTTTTTACCTGGTAGAGGCCATCATGCCCCTTCCCTCTCCGCCGCTGGTTCTGTGGGAGGGAGACAAAAGGGCAGAAAGGCACAGAGTCAGCAGCGGCCTCCGGCTCAAGGCCTCTACTCCAGGGGCCCCCAGAGAATCAGAGGTGACAGTCTCCCAGCCGGTACCCCTGCCCCTGGGCTAGAAAGGTCCTGAGGCCCGAAGACTAAGGTGAGGATCGTCTCCGATGGGGCCCAGGTTTGCTGTGAGCCATGCAGGCCCTCCCGGACATCGGAGTCCTAGGATCCCGGGCTGCGTGGGGGCTGGCCACGCTGCTTGTCACCTGGAACAAATGGGCCTCTCTGCCCCTCCCAGAATTCCTGGCTGCTATCCATGCTCACAGGGAATGGCAAGCAGATAATGCTCTGAGCTCTGGCTCAGAGCACACCATGGCAATTCCTGATGGTAACAAATTTGACTTGCTCGTACAAAGCGTAGTGTGTCTTAGAATCGGGACTCGGTCCCTGAAAGAACATCAGCCTTTCCTTAGCATCTTAAGTACGGCCAATGCTTCGCCCCTTGGCAACCATCACAGGGGCTTTTGCAGGTGATAAGGGGAATGTAGGCGAACGGGTGGGAACAGAGGCCTACAGCAGGCACATCTGGAAGCGGAGGAGGAGCTCCTTGGGAGGAGCATCCCCATCCTGACCCAATTCTTGGGAATCAAGAAGCAGCACTCACGTCGCCTTTTATCCCAATCTCACTGTAGGCCTCCGCCATCTTGTCTTTTTGCAGTGCCTGGAAAAGAAGAGGGCACGGGACACTGATTTCACTACCTTATGCAGAAGACACTGGGCTCCCCTACAAGAGGATGCCTCTCGACTCCCTACTGGCGGGGAGCTCGCACAATCAAAGCTCCAGTCCTTATTCACATAAGCATCTCCGTCCCCGACCAGCTCCAACCTCACCCTTCTCCTCAGCCCTTTGGACTCTTCTCTGAGCTGCCAGCCCTTTGCACTGAGCTGAGAAGCTCAGGTTAGGTTCAAAGATAAAATGTGGAATCCTAGCCAAAGAACATGGATGTGGACAACGCGAGGGCCCCCCTGGAGCCCCCAGAACCATTTATCTGAGCAAGCTGTCTCTTTACACAGCCAACACCACGGGCTGCGGATCCACCAATTGCAGGAAGGAAGGAGAGTCAGCTCTCTCTGGTCCGCTTCGTGGCAGACCCACGTCAACAGTCTGAAAACCACAATCAGATGCACACCCAGAGGGGGAGGTTGACCTTTGAGCAAGAGGCAACACTCAGGAAGACTCCAGCTTCTAGAAGCGGGAGCCCCTCAGAGGGGCCTGCCACCCTATACTGGTCCAGCCTGACCTGGCCGTCCCCCGGGGCCATCTACAGGGAAACTCCAACGGCGGACTCAGGGGCTGAGGGAGGGAAGGCAAAAGAAGGCTGTTCTATACACAGCCAGTCGCCACAGGCAGCGAGCAGGTGGGGCATCTGGCACGGGAAGGTCAAGCGGGGCAAAGGCACAGGGCAGGGAGTGATGCCGTCACCAGGAGCCCCCCTCCAGCCTGCCCTCCTGTACTCACATTGTACACGACTTCCGGAGGATTCCTCCTCCTCTGCTGGGGAAGACAAGGGGAAGGTTAGAGGTGGAGAAGCAGGGACCCAAGGCAGGAGGGTTGCAGAGGCCTCCTTGCACCTCCCCTCCGCACCCCCGGGGCCACCTGCCCGCCCGCCCCCCACCGGCTCCCTCCTGCAGCCCTGCCCCCATCTCCCCCACCCTCACAGCGCTACCTCAGCCTCTGCTTCCTAGTGCACACTGCACGCTCCCTGGCACACAGGGTTCACTTCCCCGCATGGCCTCCTTGGCCCAGCCCTGCCCAGGGCAGGCCGCGGGGTCTCGGCTGCGAGCCAGTCTGCGTGTCCCCTTGCAGACACCGTGCCATACGTATCACAAACTTAGGAGTGGGATTTCTGGCTGAAAAGGAAAGGTACTGAGTACCTTCCTTTGGAGCAGGCCAGCCACTGCTCGGTGAGGGAGCACTGCTCACCCCTCCGTCTCCACCCCTCCTCACCCCTCCTAGTCCAGGGAAGAGGAGAGCTGAGGCCGGAAGGCAGGGGCCAAGGAAACTGCCAGGGTCTCCTCTCCTCCCCGCCCGTCCGCTCTAGCAACGGCAGGCCCAGCACAGGGCTCAGACACAGGGGGCTGGGTAGACAGGTGTGACCAGAAACAACGAGGGAGGGCCACCCTAAGACCTGGGCAGCGGGCCTTTGGGCTGAGCCCTGCTTTTAAGCCTCCGGTCCCCACAGACTGTGGAGCTCACAGCCAAGAGCCACTAGGAGCCTGGAGCCCCAGCACGCTCCAAGCGGTACCTGGGACCCAGAATTCCTCGTCCAGTGGCCTCGGGCCCTTCCCGTATGGCCCTCCTCACCAGATCTGTTCCTTTGGGGGGCAGATGGCCCCACTGTGTGTGCATCTCAGGGTGGACAAGAAGTTTAAGGGCAAGCGGGTGGACCTTGGATACAAGGGTGTCACATTCACGTACAGGAGGTCCCTTGCGATGCAGAACGGAGCCCGGGGGGGGGGGGGGGGGGGGGGGGAAGAGAAGGGCATGGAAGCAATGGCTCCACCTGTGCTAGGGCCCTAGGGCCCTTGAGGGATAGGATGGAGCGGGTCCGATCGGGAGCGGGAGGGCGAGTGCGCGGGCGCCGAGGTGCTCTCTCCTTGCAGCCGCTGAGCACACCCACACTGGCACACACAGGCAGAGACAGGAATGCCTACCTGCTTTCCTCCCATCTCAGGGTCCAGGCCTCGTCTCTTGTCCAAAACTTCATACTCCTGTCTTCCTCCCAGATTGAGCTCCTAGAACCGACCGGGAAAGGCTCAGGGACTGGAAAGACACCCTCTTGAGGGCTGGGCCGGCGGGACTGGGAGTTCCCTCTGGGCGTGGCTCTCAAGGAAAGGAGCAGGCCTGGGGCTGGGGTGGAAGCTGGTCCGGCCGGGTACCCGCATCCCGCATCTCAGAGAACGAACAGGCGTTCCCCGTGACTCTGTGTGTGTGTGTGTGTGTGTGTGTGTGTGTGTGTGTAAATAGATTCAACCCAAGTCCCGTTGCCCCAGGAGAGTGAAACCTCCTCCCTGCGGCCCTGAAGACCCACTGACGTCCCCGCCCACCCGCCTCGGGCCCCTGCAACCTGCGGGTGGGAGGGGCTCACCGGCCAGCGCGCCCTAAGCAGGACCGTGTGGACGCGGCGGGTACAATTACGGTCCCCGTGTTCCCGGGCCCTAGGGAGGCTCGACAACCCGCCAGCCTGCAGCCCGGGCCCTGCCGCGGTCCCCTGGGGAGGGTAGGGGGGGGCGGGGAGGGGCGACGGGAGGGCAGACTTACGTTGTAGAGCTGGTTGGCGCCCTGCTGGCTCGCGGGGGCGGCCGCGCTCCTGCCGAACTGGAAGAGGGGGCGGCGAGGTTAGAGCGCTGGGTCCGCCGGGAACGCGTGCAGCCACCGCGCTGGTCCCCCCCACCCGGGCGGCGGCGCTGCCCTCGCCGCCGCCACTCCCCCCCCCCCGCGCCTCCCCCCCCCCCGGGGCCTCGGAGAGCAACTCCAAGGTGGACTGAGGCTGCGCACGGTCGCGACTCCCATCGTGACCTCAGGCGTCCCTGCTTGGCGCTAGCTTAGGGTCCTTGCGGACCTGCCCCGAGGCACACACGACCTCGCTCTCGGCTCAGTTCTCTCCGCTGAGGCGGAGATCTTAACAGATCTCACGGATCCTACAGACTGACAGCATTGGAAACCACCCGAGAGATCATCTAGGACAGCGCTGTTCCAACTTTCAAACCGAAAATTAATAAGACTGTTTCTCAAATAGCATCTTTTGCCCAAATCGACGGTCCAAAAGAGCAGAAGGCTGGGGGGACCCAAGTGATAACAAGGACCCAGCCTCCTTCCACCCTCTGCTGGCACCGCGGCGTCCCCCCCAGCCCCAGCCCCAGCTCCAGCCCTTCCAAGAAATCCAGACTCTGCAAGGCACCCGCTGAAACCCGAGCTCTGGGCTCACCCTCGCACTTCCTGACACGGAACCTGAGGTTTCCAGAGACAGGCTGGCGGGGCCTCAGTCAGCAGCAGGACAACAGGACCTGGGGAGGGACCGTAGGTCCCCACCTCCCGCTCTTAGTTCCCTAAAGCCCCTTTTCTGCCAGCGGTACCGCTGTCCCGGGACGCTGGGATGTTTACACGTTTGTATGGTTCCTCGCCAAGACCCCGGCATCAGGCTGCCCCTTCCACTCTGTCAGGCTCAGTGAGACACCAGCCCACCCAAGGGGCACTCTTGGCTGGTCCCTGCTTTGCCAGGGACGCCATGCTCCGGGCACTGCCCATGCTTGAGACTTTGCAAGTAGGGGAGCCCACACCTGCTCCCCAGAGTCCGCGGTACCCACCTTTGCTCTCAGGAACAGGGCAGTGATAATGACGCCATAGATGAAAAGGATTCCGTCCACCAGGTAGCACAGTTTGGGATCCAGCAGGCCAAAACTCTGCGCCTCTGTGCCAAGAGATGAGACTGATCAGCCAGGCCCAGGGTGACAGGACACGTCCCCACCGTCCTAGGGCGGCCCCATAACTGACTGGCCAGGGAAACCATGACAAGGGGGGGCTGAATCCATTCCCCACACCCCATCTGACCACAGCTTCTCTCCCATACCCTTGGACCAGCACCGAGGGAAAAGCCCAGCCTCCCCCCACAGCCAGACATGACACCTGGTGGGGTCACAGATCCTGGGGAAGACCGAAGGGAAGCAGAAACTAGGCGGGGGAGTGAAGCTGTCCAGTGGACGCAGGACTGCTGCCTTAGGCCCGCTGCAGCCCAGCCGTGTGTGAGCGCCCAAATGAACCATGCACTCTGGAAGCCTCTGCAATAAGATGCCCACGTCTGGATGAATGGCACCACCTGAGTCAGGTATGTGGCTCCCTCAGGCCTACCCACAGGGAGAGAACAGGACTGACGTTCGGATGAGGTCATTCATCAGGACTGTGGGAACCGGGGTTAACTCCCCCTTCCTGACTCTGCTTCCTCGGTGCGGGGCACTGAGCAGTCTCCCCCTCAGGGCAGTGGGGTCTGGGGCTGGGCCTCCCTCCCCTGGGCCCCAAGGAGTCTCATAAGCAGTCGACAAAGGTACATTTGGTGAGCACCCCCCTCCCAGCCTGAACCCGGCAGTCTCACTACTCACCAGTCCCAGCCCCATGGCCTCAGCTTTGTCTGTCCCTGTCCCTGAACCCCTTCCCTTCCCCACACACTTATAGTTCCGGGGTCACACCTTGCTCCTCCGGACCATTTGCCTCTGTGCCTTTGCACGCACTGTTCCCTCTACATATCCTCTCCCTCTGTCTCCCTGCAGCTCTGCCATCTGGTAGAATCGGATGCACCCTACAAAAGGTAGCTCAGAAATCCATCTAGCCTGTCCTATCCCCAAACTGCCTGTGAGCCGCTAATCCCCGCTGCCATATTAACCTTTGTCCATTTAGTTGGCGCTGGTATTTTCATTTTTTTAGTGTTTATTTTGAGAGAGAGAGAGAGAGAGAGAGACAGAGTGCGAGTGGGGGAGGGGCAGAGAGAGAGGGAGACACAGAATCCAAAGCAGGTTCCAGGCTCTGAGCTGTCGGCACAGAACCCGGTGCAGGGCTCAAACCCACCAGCCAGGAGCTCATTGCCCTGAGTCGAAAGTCGGACGCTCGACCGACTAAGCCACCCAGGCGCCCCTTACGCTGGCATCTTAGGGCAACGGGGTTGGAGAAGGAGATATAATAAATGTCTTGGCTAAATAAAAGCAATTTTATTTCAAAGCTCGCTGCACCGTGAGACCTGGGTTTCAGACCGTACTTCCTGCCAGGTATTTGCAGCGACTCCGCCCGTGTACCGGGCCCGCTACTTGTCTCCGCCCCTGCCAGCTAAGCTCCGCCCACAGTGGCGGCTTCTCCCAAGGTCAGAGTGCCCTCTGGTGGCCGCCTGCAGCCCCCTGGTCGGGGCTGTGGGAGCGGATACCTTGCCCTTGAGCGCTGGCTTACCCTTACCAGTGGGGTGACTTGCGGCACGTTAGTCACCCTTTCAGCCGCCTCTTCTGTTAAAACAGGGTGAAAATGCTAACATTTCTTTAATGTTTACTATGTGCCAGGCACCCCTTTAACGGAATAACTTGTCAGAACCTCCCAACAGCACGACGCAGAAACACACACAGAACTTCAGGTTTCCCCAGCAGCACACACACAACGCGAGAGGCGGCCGGGACTGTGCTCCTCTGCGCCCTCCTCCCCTGGGTCCGGCCCTGCCCACCTTTCTCCTGGAGCGACGTTTGGGCTTCTCCCGCGTGCTGTGTGACTCAGGGCGGCGGCACGTTTCCTCCCCTCCTCTCCCTTCCCCTCCCCGAATCCTCAAGCCTGCGACTCCCGCCCGAATTCAAGACCCCCTCTGGGCCCCCAGGCAACTGATCTCTTTGTAAACGTCCCTTCCCACAGCCCCTGCCCAGAAACTACTGATGACCCGGTCACTCAGAACTAAGTCCAAACTCCTCATCAGGCCGGGGTCAGGCCCGATCCGGGCCCAGCTCCCCGACACCCTCCCCACGCTGCCTCTCCTGCTCCGGTGGGAAACATGCTGCTCTTCCTTGGGCTCACCAGTCCTTTCCTACCCACCTGCCTTTCCTCTTCCCGCCTGTCGGGCCCAACACGCCCCCTCCACTCGGTGTGAAATGGGGCTCCTATCCCCCCACCTTCGCCCCTGGCCACTCCATGGCTGATTCTGCACCCGAAATTCCGCACCGGATGGAGGTGCAAGAGCCTGCCTCCCACAAAGCGCTCCCCCCCCCCAACCCCCTCCCACGTAACTTGTCGGGTTCTGAGAGTCCCCTCCGCCAAGCCTCTACCCTGGACATTGGAGCACAGAGTAGACGTTCGTTAGATAGCTTGGGCTTTTCAGGGAAGATGAGGGGGTCCACCCACGATTGGCCTGCCCGCTGGCCCCCCGGGGCGGGGCCAGAAGTCCCCTGCTGACCACAGGTGGGCGGCTGAAACCCTCTAGGAGGTAAGCCAGCCCCCCAGCAAAGACCACCAACGCGGGGGGGGGGGGGTGATTTTTTTCTTTGGGGACTGGAGACGAGGTGTCGGCGGCAATTTATGGGGGTGGCCGAGACTCAGCAAAAGAGCTAGGAGAAAAATCGCTCGGCTGCCTGTCACATAAAATGAGGATAGAAAAATGACTGGACAGTAAATTTAGAACAAATGAGAAGAAATATTTCTTCCTGTTGTGCAGAGCCAGCGCAGTGGGGGAGGGGACTTGGTCGCCTCCCCCAGAGATAAGTAACAGGGACAGGTTTTCTCTCTGCCTTCCTTTCTTTCTAAAGAGCAGCGTGATTTTTATGGCCGATGACAAGTATGCTGTGTGTGGTTTGGTCAAGGAGAGGATATTAACCGCAACACGTTTCCCGGGGAAGGATCTTCCTCCACCCGGTCCAGCTGTGCCTGTGCTGGGAGCAGCGGGCCTGAGGCAGGCGGTGATAGCCTGGAAACTTCCCCCAAAGGGACCCAGGACCTAACTCGATTATGTAACTGATCAAATATTTCTTGGGCATCTGCTCAATGCCAGGCGATGCTGAAATAGAAGGGGCCCCGGGTGGGGTGTCAGGCAGATTCTCGCCCTCCCCTTGCCACAAAGCCGCTGTGTGGTCTTGGGCAAGCCGCGTCACCTCTCTGGGCCTCGGCTTCTTCATCTGCAAAATGGTGGGTAATCACCTCTACCCGCAGGGTGTGGTGAAAACAAAGGGAAAAAAACGTGCGGGGAGGTGTTCTTGTAAATCTCCTCCATAAGGACAATGATGTCTGACCTCGGGATGAGGCCTTCTGAGTCCCTGCCCTCCTGGGGCTCATGGCTACAGCTTAGAGGGGCTTCCCTCGAACAGCACGTAGTTTTCCGGGATGCCAACCCAAAAGCATGAAGCAGAGATACTTCCTGCTTCCTGCTTCTGGTTTCTTCCCTGCACCCTCACCCCCAAGGCAGAGCTCCGGAGGCCTCCTTTCCTGATCCATTAGCACACATTCTGCAACCCGCATCCCATTCGGTCCCCGGAGGGAGGGAGGTGTTTAACAAGCTCTAAGGCGGCAGCTTTCCTGTACGACAGGAATTGTTCTATCGCAGCTCCTGCCCTCTGCCCCAGTAACACGACCTGTCTCATCAGGTGATAGTGAGGATTAAATAAGATATTTATTACAGGGTGCTGGGCCCAGCAGGTAATAATAACGTGTCTGCTATTATTGTCGCTGACTTTTTTCCCCCCAAATCACCACCAACACATTTTTTTTTTTTTTTTTTTGGATAGGAGAGAGAGAAAGGGCCAAATAGTATCAGGAACGTTTAACCCGGGTGGGATGAGAGGGGCTCCTGGGTGGCTCAGTTGGTTGAGCGTCTGACTCTTGATTTCGGCTCAGGTCCTGATCTCAGGGTGGTGAGATCTGCCCCCAATGTGGAGATGGCTTAAGATTCTCTCTCTCTCTCCCTCTCCCTCTGCCCTTCCCCAACCCCTCTCGGAAAAAAAAAAAAAAAACAAACAAAACTTTTTTTTTAAATAAATAAATTAGTTGCATAAAATTGTTTCAACTGGGTAGGACGAGAGACACTGGCGCCCCTAACTTCCGGGTGTTCACAGCCACACAGCGAACCAGATGCTGCACAGGGGCCGTCACCATTGAACCAGTGGGCATTTGATGAGGGGGCTGCCTTCTGAGCAGTCACGTGATTTCCCATTCAGAAAATGCTGCCTTCCCATCAGAGGAGTAGGGTTGAAGAAAACAAAGGCAAGCTAACAATAGCCTCCCAGCACAGGCCTAGGGGTGACGGTGGCCAGCCAGGGAAAGGGGACAAGCCCTATTTGCAAAGTGGGAGAACACGGCCTCTGGCCGGGCTGCAGGACGAGAGCTGGGGATGGGCTCTGACCCCATGAGCCTTCATCTGTCCAACCTGGACCCCCACGGGCCATTCCGTGCACAGGGCACACTCAGCTAATCTGGAAAAGAAGGGGGTTCGGCCCCAATTTTCATGCCCGCTCCACCTTCCCCAGGCCTAGCAGGTGACCCCATCCACACGTCCCCACCACGCCAGAGCCCTGCATCTGGACACAGAGCAAACATGGAGACTGAAGTCCAGGTGGGCCGGAGCACATCCAGGTGTCGTAGGGCTGGAGGCGTCAGGCAGGTGCTCCCAGATGGAGGCCAGGCCGAGACGGGGGTATTTTAAGTGGTTCTATTTACTCCAGGACAGAGCATAACCTGATGACCCCTGCCCAGCAGAGCAAGCTGGAGCCTGGGAAGAGCTGGCCCTCCGCACTCAGGCACGTCCAGTACTGAATACGGGATTGGAACACGGGGGAAAAGAGGAGCCTGGCGCCCAGCCTGCCCTTGTCCGTGGTCGTGAGGTCACTGCCCGGCCTGCTCACCGCAATCCCCATCACAGACTTGATACAGCTCAGGATGGCCAGGGCCTGGCTGAACTGGGACCCT